CGTTAAAACGCCAACAAATAAACACCGGATGGCTGCAGTGGTCATTGCTGCACGTCCTTTGCACGTCGCTATCTGCCCGATATCAGTGGCCGGACATACTCGTGTTTGCCAATGCTGGTTCCTGGCTCCCACTTGCTCTTTTGTGAAAACAAGGTCTAAGTCCTGGCCCACGGCAGGCTTCGGTCGTGAACACCAGCTCTTTGTTCATGGGCTCCATCGGTTCGTTACCAAACATCAGGTCCTCGTTTCGGGCCTCTCACTCATTCTCCCATAAACACTTTTTGCAGATTGAACTATTTCCTTTCCAAACACCGGAACACTGAGCAAACACCAGTGCGTTGAACTGTAATGTCGAACATTTGTTTATAACTTTGTCCAAAGGTTCTTTGGATTGCTTTTTTGCATTTGGCGAAGGATATTTCACATTTATTCATGCGAAGGTGCACAGCCTTTTACCTTAACGTCCAGTGGACCCACAGCAGGTCGACCTGTTCCGTTTTCAAAATTTAAGCTGTCAAGTAGCAACAGGCGGTAAACGCTACAGCATCTGCCACACCTTTGTCATGATATTGACCTCTGTCCATAGTTCTTGATAATCATGAAGCAGGTCTGTTGCTTATCAGCATACTGCAAGCCCGAAAATATTATTTTCCACGACGTTTCCACTTCTTTTGGTTTTCTGAGCTTCATCCCATTATCCGAGCTTCATCTGACTCTGTCCGTCCCTGTTTTATAATATGAACATATGTCTCTTAGTAAACTACGCACTAAGCTTTTGCTTCGTGAAACACGCCCCAGGAAGCAATATTTGCTGCTTATTTAAACTACGAATACGCTTTATTGGCGGTGGCGCGAAATAAAGCGAAACAAGGTAATTCATAACATCTAGCACATGCAATGATTTAATAGCCATTATTGCAAGTCACCCGCTAGAGGCAAGCGGTTTTCGGTGATAGTATTTGGGAACTAGACTCGCATCTTCCATCGGGTGTGCGAAAACTACTCTGAAACAGGCCAACACCATGCTGACAGCTGGGGCCCAAGCCTACCGGGGGGAGGGGGGAAGGTTTTGGGATTGAGCACCGCGTCTCGCTGGGTAACGCGAATACGGTCGTCTACGGGATGTCCGCCGGCCGCGGTGCACCCCTTACAAGAGTGTAACGCGCCGGTACTCAGTGACATTAGGCCGACCGCGGTGCACCCCTTACAAGAGTTGTAACAGCGCCCGGTACTACAAGAGTGTAACGCGCCGGTACTCAGTGACATTAGGCCGACCGCGGTGCACCCCTTACAAGAGTGTAACGCGCCGGTACTCAGTGACATTAGGCCGACCGCGGTGCACCCCTTACAAGAGTGTAACGCGCCGGTACTCAGTGACATTAGGCCGACCACGGCGCACCCCTTACAAGAGTGTAACGCGCCGGTACTCAGTGACATTAGGCCGACCGCGGTGCACCCCTTACAAGAGTGTAACGCGCCGGTACTCAGTGACATTAGGCCGACCGCGGTGCACCCCTTACAAGAGTGTAACGCGCCGGTACTCAGTGACATTAGGCCGACCGCGGTGCACCCCTTACAAGAGTGTAACGTGCCGGTACTCAGTGACATTAGGCCGACCGCGGTGCACCCCTTACAAGAGTGTAACGCGCCGGTACTCAGTGACATTAGGCCGACCGCGGTGCACCCCTTACAAGAGTGTAACGCACCGGCACTCCGTGATATTAGGTCGGCCGCCGAATAGATAGACCGCCTCACGGTAACGCTCCGGTACTCCGTGACATTAGGCCAACCGCGATGCACCCCTTGCAAGAGTGTAACGCTCCGGTACTCGGTGACGTCAGGCCGCCCGCGTGACGTCACATCGCGCTGTCGATCGATGGCCTCCAGACGCGCGGTGCGGCCGGATATATGATGCGACGCGGCCACTCGCGGAGCGGCAGGGGCGCGCGGCGTGAGAGCTCGCCAGCAGATGGTCGCGTGGGAAAACGGGGAGATCGCGATATTGGCCTGAGTGCGGGAAGTGTTTGGGTCAGACCATGATTCAGTCCGACTTAACACGCCTCAAACGTTGTACCATAGACAGAGCCAACCGGACTCTTTATATCAGAGGCCGACCCTGGACGTAGAGACCCCGCCAAACACGGCATTTCTTGCCAGCTGAGGCCCTGACCACCTCTTGTCGAAGTGCAGCGCCGCTCGTGACCTGAGGTCACTGACCGGAGCGGAGGTCGCCGTAGTCCGGGTGGCAGTGTCCTCTGGTCTGTAACCTGAGGTCACTGATCGGGGTCGAGGCTCGCTAGTGTCCTGCCGGCAGTGTCCTCTGGTCCGTGACCTGAGGTCACTGATAGGGGCAAGGCTCGCTGTGTCCTGCCGGCAGTGTCCTCCGCTCCGTGACCTGAGGTCGCCGACCGGGGCGAGGCTCGCCGTGCCCTGCTGGCAGCGCCCTCTGTTGGACGCCGCTGTGATCGGCGGCGGCCGTCGGCGACGGGCCGGCTCGCGACCACGGGTGTCCCTCACCCGAGCACCCGACGCTCGCGGCTGCTTGTTGGCGCCGGGCCAGGTCGTTTGTTTGCCTGTCGGTCGGCTGGCTGCTGCTTCTGCCCGTCCCAGGCGTGTCGGCGCCCGCCTCCCCAACATGGGCGCCGTCGCGTGCTCCTGTGCACTCCCACGTCCGCTGTCACGTCCTCCTGGGCATTCTCAGTCCGCCGTCACGTCCTCCTGTGCATTTCCACGTCCGCCGTCACGTCCTTGTGTACATTCTCACATCCGCCGTCACGTTCCTGTGTCCATTCTCATATCCGCCGTCACGTCCTCCTGTGCATTCTCACGTCTGCAGACCGTCTTTGCTTCCTGGCATTCCGTTACCAAGATATGGACGATTCGGCCTTGCTACCACCTTTCGGCATTGTTAAGTTCGTTATCAGTTCCGGTTCCGGTGCGGAATCGATTTGACAGTTTGGGTGTTTTGGGATTTTTTTTAGAACGCATGAACTCATGAGACCTTTCTCAAATCGCCTACGATCCGAAGTCGAGATCTCTTTTCTAAAGTCCATTTTCTCAGTAGGCATCTGCCGAGAAAGCCGATTTTAGCGCGCCGATTGCAAGAGGCCTGCTTTTAAAAGGCTTATTGTATAGAAGCCATTTTTCTAAGAGACCTATTATAGGAAACCTCCGCGCTCAACGCCTGTTCTCAATCAATCGTTCTTTTATTTTGTAAGCGTCCACGAGATGGTTTTCAGAGCTCCATGTCAGTGATATGTATAAAAGCGCGCGACACGGAGAAATGCAACATGCCCTAAATGTAATAGCGAATCAAAATACGCTGTCGTACCATGACCATGACCATACCATGACACTGATATTTTTCAGGCAGGTGTAGTTAAAAAAAAGCTCTGCGAACATTTCACTAGCGGAGGGCAGCCGTCTCACGCTCTTGTTGCGCGACTCAAAGATGACCGTGAGCCAAACCCTGTCCGCATGCGCGGGATGTGGAGCTGACGGGTTGCAGTTACGTTTGAGCAACGGCGAATGTATTGGGGCGGTTAGTGATAAGTCGACGAAGCGGCTGGTGATGAGCTGACGGAACGGCTGGTGATGAGCTGAATGAGCGGCTGGTAATGAGGTGACGGAGCGACTGGTGATGAGCTGACGGAGCAACTGGTGGTGAGATGACGGGGCGGCTGGTGATGAGGTAACAGAGCAGCTGGTGGTGAGCTGACGGAGCAGCTGGTGATGAGATGACGGAGCGGCTGGTGATGAGGTGACGGAGCGGCTGGTGATGAGGTGACAGAGCAGCTGGTGGTGAGGTGACGGAGCAGCTGGTGATGAGGTGACGGAGCAGCTGGTGGTGAGCTGACGGAGCAGCTGGTGGTGAGATGACGGAACAACCGTTCATGAGCTGATAAAGCGGCTGGTAATGAGATAACAGAGCGGCTGGTTTATCCCGATTAATGCTAAGACAGCGATGATAAGTCCTACATTTCAGGCCATAAGTCTTCCGAAGAATGGTCTCCTTCAAATACGTCTTCAGGAGGAAGATCGCCTCAAAGGGTTCCTTGCGAAATGACTTTCAGGGCTGTCAGTAAATAATATTATGTGGAAGCGGAGAAATGGGTCTGATGAGGTGTGACAGAAGCGTAACGGGGGGAAGGGTGGACTCGGACAACGCAATGTTACACTCAGGCAGAATAGTAATTCTTGCTGATTTCTTAAACAGCCTTTTAGAACCTGGTGAAAGGGATGTGGAAAATAGCCGAACATCTGAAACGTGATGTAGGTATGGCTGCTCCGAAAATATATTTTCTGAAGGGTGACCTTTGGAACGCAGACTTGAAAATAAACTCTGGAAAGTACGCTTGCTGAAGACAGGCCATTTTGCCATTGGGCTCAGTAGGCTGAACCCATGCTGGAGTATGGGGCGCTGCTCGTTGGGGAGGGGTGGCGGGCTCCGTCGCCCCTGGCTGCCTCTCGGTGGCACGCGGGGACGGGGCGCTGCTCGTCGGGAAGGGGCGGCGGGGCTCTGTCGCCCCTGGCTCCCTCTCGGTGGCGCGCTGCCGGCCCGGGAGGCGAGGCGCACCTGGCCTGGGCGTCTGAGGCGGCCCCCGTGCTTAGCAGACACCCGCCCGCGCCGACGACGAGCTTAACTTAACGAACTTAAGGGCCGGAGCTGGCGGCGTCCTCAGACTCCCCCGGCATGTTCCAGCTGGTCCGAGGGGTCAGGCCTCCTCCTGAAGTCTCCCGAGACTTCCTGAGTCAGGCCTCCCGGGCCTCCTGAGTCAGGCGGGTGGCATGACGTGACTCGGCCTTGGATGAGGTGGACAATGCACCGCGAGTCAGCGCACCCTAACCCGAAGCGGATTCGTCTGGAAATACTGCGGTAGGACTGGGGACATATCAGAATGTTGTACCAGTTCTTATTTGGTAAACTCTGTCATACGCCAGGCTTAGCAATGCCACCAGCAAGAGTGCAGTGTGCTAAGCTTCTGCGTCCTGTGTTGCAGCTCCACCACCCAGAATTCATCCGGTTTTCCGGGCACCTGCCTGGCGCCGCGGTCGGACCCCACCACCTGGCTGGACAGCCTCAACTCGCCCCTCATTCAGGACGTAGGTGTCCCCCGCGATCGAGCCAGGCCTGTTGCCTGACCGTGCCCACGACACGATTGCCCACCGCGAAGTGAACTGGGCTCGGGCGTGTCGTGTCCAGTACAAGTGTACTGAGTGTTATTTGTCGGGGAAATGTGAAGGGTTCACGGTCAGAGCTCTGCGTTGTATGACTGACAGTCGGTAAAGGTGGACGGGTGACCTAAAGGCCGGCCACCGCAGGCCATGGTCTGTTGTGCGGAAGCTGATAGGCAAAAGGGCGCCAGCAATGTATGAGATGGTGCGGATGTGTCAGTGGTGGTGCGGATGTGTTAGTGGTGGTGCGGATGTGTTGGTGTTGCGGATGTGTTAGTGGTGGTGCGGATGTGTTTGTGGTGGTGCGGATGCTCTGCGGATTGGGACGCCCCGCAGTCCTAAAGGTGGTGAGCTAGAGTCCTTAACTTTTTGCTTTTGGAGCGCAAGACTGATGTAGGAGTTAGGATGCCTGAAGCTCACAGATCAACCTCTCAGAAGTCACAAAACAAAACGTCGGAGCCTGAACGTAAATGGGGTTTTAGGTGCAGTTCCCGCAGCTGTGTGTGTTCATGTCAGAGTGCGGAGCGCCTTCTTCTGACGCTATTGTCCTATGCCGCTGTTCGAGGTGTCACCAACAGTATTTCACTGATCTGGCACAGGTCCGCAGTTTTCGATCACCCGATGTGTTTGCAGGAAGGAGACCAGAAGCAGCTGAAACTCCGATTTGACGTGAGCCAGTACAAGCCGGAGGAGATCGTCGTCAAAACGGTCGACAACAAACTCCTGGTGAGCACTGGCGCCCGCTCGCCGGCGGCGAAGCCAGGGTTCAGGGTCGGCCGACCACCCAGTGCGCCAGCTGTGCCCCTCCCCCTCCCCCTGCTCTCCATGCCGGGCCGCCGGCGTCGTTTCTCAATCCGTTTCTTGGTCGCGTGGGCCTGGTCCAGCGCGCCAGCGGCCGGTGCCGGCTGGGCCCGCTGCCCGGCCCCGGGCCGGGGCCGCTCCGGGGCCGCTCCGGCCCCGTCGACGGAGCGGCACCGGCTGGCAGGGACCACCTGGCGGCTGGCGGAGTTGGCACCGTCCGCACCGGCGCCGCCGCCCCGTCCCACCCGCTGTTCTCGCCGCTCGCGCCCGGCTCAGCGTCTTTGGGAGGCGGGGAGCTCGAACCACGAGCCGCTCCAAGCTCAGCGCGGCTCTAACGAATCAGCTGAATACGGCGGTTCGGCGTGTTTGTCTCCACGCGCGCACAGAATGCGGGTCGAATATTCATTGGCGTCTCAGCCCGAGTGGTTTGATGGCGCGGCAGCCTGATGGATGAACCCGAGGTCGAGGGGAAGGGCGCCGCCCTCCCTCCTGCAGGGAGCGGCGAGAGCAGAGAATGCGTCCAGACATATTGGATACGAATGTGAATGCGAATGCGGCGGGCGAATTGTTTTAACACGCGCTCGGGTGGTCAGCTAGATACTCTTCGCTTGGGTGGTCAGCTAGATACTCTTCGCTCGGGTGGGGGGTTCAATTTGACCCCCCTCTGAGATCTCGGGAACTAAGGGAGCTAGAGACACCAAATTCCCAAGGTGTGTTGACCTGTACGTGAAATCACTTAGGTCAAAGTTTAAGGCTCCTAGGTCATGACCTTCGGGTCAAATAAGGTCAAACAAGGTCAAATTCCAGGCTGGTCTCCAAAGTGCTGCTGGAACCCAGATTACTGTTTCTAAGCAAAAGGCCACAAGTCCATTTAAGGTCAATGACCTTGTTTGACCTTTTGAAGGCCATGGTGACCAAAATCATACAAGACTGCTTTGAGTTTTGCACTTGAATAAGCGACAAGGATTACTCTAGGCAGCATGTTTCTAAAAACAAAATGTTGACTTGGGTCATTCTAGGTCAATGCCTATTCCGACCTCTAAGAAGTCCATGGAAGATGTATGATGCGGTTCCTGCTATCAATGAATTCGAAATGAGCACCAGAGATTATCTCATACAGCAAGCCCTAGAGTAATAGAACAGGTTTATTCTGACCCTGGTCTGACCTCCATATCTGACCTTAGGTCAACGTAATTTGCTCATGCAATATTTGTGTTGCTTAAGAAAGCATCTGAGAAGCGTATGGCTTCGTCCACAGTGTCACACTGGCTGGAAAAGTGACTTGCGTATGTTTGAATGTGTTTTGCAATTTGACCAGATATTCGTATGCATGATCTGTTAACTGATAACTCTCCAATGATTAGGCCTCATAGAAAATGTCTAATGTTTTGCTAAATTACTCGAATGAATCTTTTTTGTCCGACCGTCTCACATTGTTTCGGGGAAGGAATGTCCTTGAAACGTTAGCTGGCTTCAACTAACAGGAATGACTAGGCGAACTGGGTTATGACTTACCAAAAACATTGGAGGATTTAATTCGAGCAGTCGAGCAAACGCGCAAAAAGGTGATTGAAGGTATATTTGTCCTTGCATATAGCAAAACTTCCACGTATGTATGTATATATACATATATATATATATATATATATAAATATATATATATATACATATATATATATATATATATATATATATGTATAGATTTGGCTGTCGTTTTGGTTTGCTTGTTTAAAGCAACGGTTTCATTATTTGCCTTCGATCCGGCCCGTAAAAGCCAACGATTCCCCCTCATCCTGTGACTCCTCTCAGCAATGCTGCTCGCTAGACAACACACACTGCCTGGCTCACGGCAAATGCAGTGGTGGTTTCCCTCCTGGTGGCACCAACGCAGAGAGCGCCCTGTTTGTGCTAACGGGACCAAGAGGAGGAGCGCGTTGGCGGCCGATGCTGGGCGGGCCCAGCGCGTCGTGAGAGCGCGTCGTGGGGGGAGGGGGAACATGCCCCAAGCATCTCCCCCCTCGCTCCGACCCCGTTCGCTGTGCATTGAGCAGTCCGTTAACGGGTGGCCGGCGGCCGGCTGGAGCTGGAGTGTTGGGGGGAGCGCGTGGAGCCGGCCGGCGTCCTACGCCGCCTCAGATGGCGTCCGGTCATGGCCCGGGCCGCCCATCGGTCGGCCGCGGCGCTAATACGCGCCGCATCTCATTACCGGGCGGCCGGGTGACTGGGCGCACGGCCCGACGACCAAGGCCGGCCGCCCACACCCGCGGTCCGGCGCTGTCAGAGCGTCGACCGCGCGCGCCCTCGGGACCGGTCGGTGAGGTTGGTGAGTCAGAGCGCGCCGTGCGGGTCCGCACCACGTCCGCGCGGCGCGCGGACCGTTGCCCAGTGCCGGGGCGTCTCAGAGGCTCGACGGCCCAGGGACGCACCGCATACCCTCCGCCCTGGGCTGCGCCGGGTACCGCCGCTGGGTGGCCAGCGCGGTGAGCGTGCTGCCGACTCGTACATCGCGGATTGCCCGTATTGCCCCGGTCGCTCGCTCGCAGAAGCGACTGAGCTTCCGCTGAATCTTTGTATGAAATCTATTGTGAGCGATCCGGCGGGTCTTTGTTTCCGCTTCCGGTATGCATGAGCTAAAAGTTCGGTCATTTTGATGTTTATCAGGGCCATGAGAAAGAGAGAAGCCTGCTTGGCAGCGAGCCAGCAGACCAGGCGGCCAAGTCTCATGCTCCTTACTCCTGACATTGCACCGAAAATCCTGGCAAACGACATGCGCTTGAAAGGGAATGAGCATCTGCTTGCCCTAATGGCAAGCCAGGTGGAGCGAGGAGCGCCATCCAAGCAAGCTGAAAGCTGTTAAACCATGCATAGGCGCCTGGGCATTATCATTTTTGAATTCCACAAAGAAGAGGTAACACCTACAGCGTTAACGCATTGGTCATGCGCACATTACGCAGCATCTTTCGACTTACACGCGCTCGGGTGGCCAGTTGAAAACGCTTCAGCAGGGGGTCAATTTGACCCCCTGCTAAGATCTCATAAACTAAGAGAGTTAGACACCAAATGCATAAGGTATGTTTGCTTTACTTGAACTCGTTTGTGTCAAAATTTAGAGCCCCTAGGTCATGATCTTCGGGTTACGGGTTGAATAAGGGCTAACAAGGTCAAACTCCAGGTCGGTGTCCAAAAGTGCCCCAGAACAAAGTGACCAGAACATTGATACCTGTTCTGAGCAAAAGGTCACTGATGCTCATGTACGATAAGTGACCTTCCTTTCCTTGTGTGCCTTGTGTGTACCTAGTGTGCCTTGTTCCTGAAGGCAAAATGTTGACCTGGGCGTTTTAGGTCAGTGACCTTTTCTGACATTTAAGAAGTCCTAAAAAAGATGTATAGCGCGGTTCCTGCAACCAATAAGTTTTAAATGAGCACCATAACTCACCTCCATGCAGTAAGCTTTAGAGCAATAAAGCAGGTTGGTTTTGACCTTAGGCTGGCATTCATGCCTGGCCCTGGGTCAATGGAATTTCTGGATTCAATTGTTGTGTGTATTAAGAAACGATGTCAGAGATGTATGGCTTCGTCTAACTCTCCCTTGTTGCATCAGATTGAACAATTCCCTACAAATTGTCTTCGCTGAATCCACGGCCTGACTTTGACCTGCCGTAGGTCAGCGACATGACAAGACGCATCTAAATTGTTCTATTTCAAATGATTTGTGATTTAATTGTCTATAGCTATTCAAGCTTTGGCGCGGCCAAGCCATGTCGTTCGCGAACCATCCTAAAAAAACCTATGAAGGGGGTCAAGTGGGCCCCCACTCGAGCGCATGCTTAACAACCTCAATAACTGTTCTCATCCGGCAGATGTGGCGAAATGCCAACTGCCAGTCATAGCATGGTCGATTGTCGACAGCTGTCCGCAGAGAGATAGAGGCCCTTCGGTGGCCCTGAGCCACTGACGTCATGACGTCATTAATCGGAGAATACCCTGAAATAGAACCTTATCGATTTCTGAACTTTCTGGGTGCTGCCGGCTTGCACGTCATGTGCTCACCTTTTTAACAGCATAACGCTCAGGAGGTAGTGAATTTGAGTGCGAAATTGCCTCAGTAGCTGATGCGCTCACAAAACCCCGTATCATCAAGGGGACAACCGCCGAAATGGCTGCTCGCCTTTAAGCAACCCCTTGCTGCTTGCAACTGGCCGAAAATTGGTGTGTTAGTGTCATGCATACGATACTGCGTAGTAAAAGACTTAACGGCAGCATTCGTTTTTCCTTGAACGTTGTTCCGAGGTCCTCTTCCGATGTTACTAGCGTTTGTTTGCTCGGTGTTCCTACGGCTGTGTGGGAGGGGGCGGAAGTGAGTTCATTTTGGGATCGTTAAAGGGTCATGGTGTTGGTGCCGCCGCTTATGGACGCCCATGTAACCCAACACGATGGCCTCCCCCGCTGCTGATCTAGCGCACAGGCGCAACGCTCTGCACAAGTATGACATAGAGAGTGCCTGTGATTAAGTATGGTACCGATAGCGTTTGACGTTTGTTGATAGCGTTGCTCGTGCCGCTCAAGCATGTCGGTGTCGTTATTGAGTCAAGCTCGTTGCCTGGAGTTACGGGGAGTAAAGCTTGGTTTAGTGCGTTCCATTGCTGGAACTCACTGCCACCCGGCACCGGAACCAGTCCCTCTCGTCGGGTAGCGAGGGCCAACCGGACGCTCACCGTGCTATGTTCAAAAGTTCGCTTGCTTTGAGGTCAAATTGATAAAGATAGACTCAACCAGAGCCATCGAAGCAGTATGATAGATGAATGTAGGTTCGCTTGCTTTGGGGTCAAATTGATGAAGATAGACTCAACCAGGGCCATCAAAGCAGTATGATAGATAGGTGTAGCCGGGGATGCTTCAGCGCTTGGAAGCGGCTTCAGTCATCCACGAGTTTGAATGTTAAGCTCACTATTTGATTGGTCGGTGGTTTTTATGCCGCAGCGTGATTAAATCCCGGTTGCCATTGCAACATTGGCAAACACTACTGACGCCCAGCTGTCGCTCTCAATGACATGGGTTTCATTTGATGGCCCTGCGATGTTTTGACAGCCTGCTGGCGCATTGGCACAAACGGCCTGGGTTTTGCCGGCAGCCGCTGTCGCGCAGAAAGGCTAGCGTTATATAGGTGGAGACGGGCAAGTTACGCAAAGAGGAGGCCATCTTTCGTCAGATGCTGGAGCACACATCTCAACTCGAATACGCTGATGAAATAGCAAAGTAATGCCGTCATTTCTGGGCTTCTGATGAACACTCGATCGCTCGTTAAGCTACGCTATTTCAGTTAGATCAGAGCAAGAATTGCAAAGTTGAGGCCCAGCGACTTCCTGGAAGCTCACACTTAATTTGATATAATGGGGCATGACTGGCACCAAAAAGTCGTAGAATAGTTGCTGCCCCTGAGCTGCCAATGACGTCAGGAAACTGAATAATACCCATATTGTGCATGAGGTATATTTTTGACCTGGGGATTGGAAGGGTTTCCTTTGCACAGCTCAAGAGAGAGAGAGAGAGAGAGAGAGAGAGAGAGAGAGAGAGAGAGAGAGAGAGAGAGAGAGAGAGAGAGAGAGAGAGAGAGAGAGAGAGAGAGAGAGAGAGAGAGAGAGGGAGAGAGAGAGAGAGAGAGAGAGAGAGAGAGAGACAGAGAGAGAGAGAGAGAGAGAGAGAGAGAGAGAGAGAGAGAGAGAGAGAGAGAGAGAGAGAGAGAGAGAGAGAGAAGAGAGAGAGAGAGAGAGAGAGAGAGAGAGAGAGAGAGAGAGAGAGAGAGAGAGAGAGAGAGAGAGGAGAGATATATATATATATATATATATATATATATATATATATATTTGTGTGTATATATATATTATATATATATATATATATATATATATATATATATATATATATATATATATATATATATATATATATATATGCATAGAGAGAGGGAGAGCCCTAGGGAATAAAACTGTGTAGCATGTAAAATATGTGAACTCAATGTGCTATTCATAATGGACACACATGCACATTCAGCAGAGCCGAATTGAGATAAATGGTCGATGGTACTGCCTGCGGCTTGGCATTTTCTGAGTATTTTCGTGGGTTGGCAATGCCGATCTTTTGTGTCCAAAAAGGGAAGAGCTCTTCTCTAACCAGTGCGCCAGCAATGGAGGTAGTTGAGGCATGGGTGATGCTGTGAAAGCCAAAATGACAAAGCGTGCTTCTTTGCCATGAGATGCCACACTCCAGTCCGTCGTCGATGTAGCGAAGGCACAGCGAACGCTGCTGCTATGGGATTCCTAGCCACATTGACTCCATTGCATCCAGAGTTTCTACAGCTGGTGGTGTACCGAAGGCACAGCGAACGCTGCTGCCAGGGGGATTCCTAGCCACACCGACTCCATTGCATCCAGAGTTTCTACAGCTGGTGGGGGCGATTCTCAGCTGCCCACGGGTCACGATGGCGTCCATAGTGATGTTGCTTTGGCGAAGTAGTCTCCCGGAAATGCACAGAGTCGTTCAACATTGCTTTGGGGGTCGGGGGTCGGGTCTGGTCCAAACGCGTTCACGCACCAGTGTGCTTCTGAGCTGACTCATGCAAGCATTGGTCCAGTTTAGCAGAGTCAGTGGGGGTCGGGGACTTAAGTTTTAGGCCGCTCTAGGGTACCCCCAGCGTTTATTTCTGCCTTGCTTGAGCCGCTTTACTCTGCCATTTGGAAAAAATTAGGCATTTTTCGCGATCTGTGGTTTTTAGTGTGATTTACCTATGGGCTATTTTCACTTCCATCACTGTGGCTGTTCTTACAACTGGGCTCGTTATTGGCCTCAACATGAGAATACTTTGTGCAACACATTGATGCATGAACGTAGCAGACAAACAGATATGCTGCGTTACTGTACGCCTTTTATGTAGTTTTAGCTTCAGTTTTTCTGCATTGTCACGTGCCTAAGTGGGACACGCGCTTCGCCTTCTGAGTCATCGTTATCCTGGTAGCCGACGCAAGCGTTCAACTGACTTGACCCTTAAACCGATTTATAAGTCCAATGTTAGCGTTTGGGATACGGACAAAAAGCCGTCGATGTATGTCTGCCGATGATGCGGTATCCGCTGCGCAAGATTTAGCAGGTTGCCACTCTCAAAATGTGGCCGGCAGTCTCGCAGTACAGTAGCAAGTAGCAAGTGCCGCTTGCCTACTTCTTAGAAGCACAGAACTTTCGAGCCAGAAGAATGCGGCTGATTCTGAGCTGACCTGGCAACTCTTTAGCGAGTATCTCATATTTACAAATGATAAGTCAAATTGAATTTGCTCCATCAAAAGCGCAACTTCATTCCAATCCATTGCATGGCCTCAACTCCAAAAACGGTGCTGAAATGTAGCACCATCCTCAGATAAAGATTTCGCTGAAAAGGACCGTCCACAGACAAAACTAATCCAGCCTGTCCGCCCTCTATGTCGCCTGACTACCTATCCCCACATTACCCTGTGGACGGGGGTTTGTGGTGTTCCTTCAGAAGACGGGTGGCTCGCCTGGACCACCATCGTCGAGAAACGCGATGATGTCATGCTTCAAGTCCCTGCAAACTCGACCTAAGTACATGACGTCACTGAACAGGTCATGACAGGATGGGACGAGACTCGTCATCGCCGTCGGCCGTGCTTCGTCCTCGACGTCACCAGCCGTCAGCTGACTCCGCTCGCCCCGTGACGTCACCAGCCGTCAGCTGACTCCGTTCGCGTGGTGCGGGCGTCCTCTGCGCCGCCCGTCAGCGGTGTTGATCCGCTGTACACAGGGCGGGCTCACTCCCCCGGTTCGACTGTTGACAGTCGCGGGCGAATGGGCAAGGTCCGCCTGTGACCAGGTGGTGGTGCCGGTACAACTGCACCATTCCGAGGATTTGCACTGTCATTTGCCTCTTCAGCAACAGAAATTAGCCCGGAGCATGGGAATATGGTTGGCGACAGATTGTTGGACTTATCTGATGCGGCTTCTTGGACCCGAAATTTTAGCCATGCTATGGACGTGACCACCCTGCCAGTACAGGGCTATATGCATTCACCTGGAACATTTCTACACCAATGAGGTTTTGTGTTTGACTGGTAGCTCAGTCGTGCCCATATCTGCATTGTGTTTGCATGCATGGGTGGAAAACTGTCGCATTCATGCACCACTCTTCATGCACCGTCGTCCCTTACCCGTTGTTGGTCGTCAAGCTGAGGGAAAAATCAGGCATGGGAAATGTACTGAAAGTTCGGGAACAATGACCGTGTGCATTCTACAAAACGAATGCTGCTTAACCGGGCGAAGAATATGTGGTCGTTAGTCGACCAGGTGTTCGCGATATGTTTGTACAGCACAGACTCTGTGTCAAAATACTATCTCTCGCACTTTGTAAACACTCCCAGCCGACAGACCTTCGATCCATTGTGTGTACATTGCAGGAATATGTACTCAATGAGTGCTGCGCTCGTGGTAGTACTCGTCCCCTGGCTGAAGGAGCGCTTCCTTTGCCGGCAGGTTCACGCCAAGCACGAGGAGAAGACGGACGGCCGCAGCGTGTATCGCGAGTACAACCGCGAGTTCCTGCTGCCCCAGGGCTCCAACCCGGAGATGATCAAGTCATCGCTCTCCAAAGACGGCATCCTGACAGTGGAGGCGCCGCTGCCGGCGCTCGAGGGCAGCGGCGGCCACATCCCGATCGCCCACCATTAGACGGGCCACCGGGCGCCGCTGCTGCCACCTGTCGAGAGCCGCGCGCACTGCCGTGGTGCTGCCGCGTCCTGCGCAGCCGCCCTGTCGCCACGCTGAATTTCCCCTGCCCCCGCCGACTGCCGAAGGTGGTCGGCGCCGCCGTCCGCAGCTGACGTCACCGCAGGACGGCCGGGAGCGACGGCCCTGTCACGTGACGTCGGGGGGTCGGGTTCGGCTGCCGGCAACGCCCCGCCCTTGCACTGGACGCCGTACCGACCGATGGATGTGTCTCACTACTGAGTCCCTCGCGCCTGGCTTTGAACGGCTAAATCCGGATTTTCGTCGTAGCACAATGTGATAGCGACACGTGTACGTTTAATAATTTATTAAAAGAAAGCGATGCCGTTTTGCTCTGGTTCCTGAAGATATTACATTATATCAAGGGTGTGAACAATGTTCAAATGCTGGCAAAATATAATTCACTCCTTTCCTGGCTATATATGTGGTGACATGGTTGAGAATGGCCGCATGATGGTACAATCTGGCGTACATAACAACCGCAGGCGGGTAGCTAGCTGCTCAATGCTGTTTAGTGCAATCCGCGTATATTTTTATTCAGCACACTATCATCTCCACATGCATGTTTGCTCTTGATTGCGTTCAGTCGCTCTCATGGTAAACGCCTGCGACGCAGATGGCACCCCCATCCGCACGCGTATGACGTTATGAAAACCCCGCGCCGCAGATGCGCCACCATCTATACGCGCGTGGCGTTTTGCAAACCTCACACATGACCCACGCCTGTTTCATTGGAAGCAACTGTAGTGGGTTTGCTCATGTAAACTGTGCGCTGGTGGCGTGGCCTGCCGATATTCTTGCCATCTTTGCGTGTCATATAATGGTGAGCTGTTCTGAAATGAATCGAATAGTTCCAATCCGACAATATCTGCATCCAATTGCATACAGGCGCGAGTCAAACGTGCCCCGATTCACGTCTTCGTATCACGAGGTCAGCCCGCCGCCCAGGCACCGCAGAGCGGCCGCAAACTTGACTGGTCCTGCCCTCTTGCGTCGGCCGCTGCAAACATCGCCGCAGCGTAACGATGGCTGTTACTCTGACGACGCCGATCCGGTGCATAATGCTGGTGTTTGCGGGGTTTAAAGCGATAACAACAGTTTAATAACATCTGAGTTGTTTGAACGCGGCGTTAATCCATGCCAAGGTATGTGAGGCTCCAATAAGAACCATCTTTAAATATTCCAGTGCGATCCACTGGCATGGCGTAGCCTAACAGGACTGCCATAACATCCATAGGCCGACCAGAGTGGAAGAATATATAAAGGTTGTATATATGTCGAGGAGAGTTAGAGCCTTGATACTCCTTGGGTGCCAAGAGCCGATACTTAACGCTATCTTACCACTAAGCATAAATTCTAAGATACATAAGCTACTCCGAATAATGCATATTAAAATGCTACCTAAGTAGTTAGGCAGTCTACCCAACAGATTTCAGTCCAGAGTAAATGCTTCCGTACCCAGTTCCCCTTCCCACAGAAAGCAACTGGACCAGAGTCACGGCCGGACTGCCAACAGCGCGCCAGGGGAACGTCGATGGCTCCACCGCAATCTCCTGCTTATCAGTGGGTCGAAGGCCTCTACCGTCGCCGTCCTCCACGGAAGAAGAGTTCAGAGGGAAAAAATCAGTTTTCTCATCTCGTCCATCAGAAACAGAACGACGAAACAGAACGAAACAGCCGACGACAGAAAACCAGTAGCATGAGCAGAAGACATCTTTGGAAGCTGCACCTATGCAAATTTCGTCAGTCTGACACACTTAGGCGAAGACGTGAAAACAAGGACGCCTAGCTCCCCCCCCCCCCCCCCCAGCCCTCTACTTGAGAAATTTACCGTTGCCTCTACGGCGCTGCGCTGTTGGCGTCATCGCACCGCTCCCAATGTCCGCGAGATGGCACTGCGAGCGGCTGCCTATCGGAGAGAAGAGGGTGCTACAGTAGCTGAATGCGGCGCCAAGCGCACAAGTGCCAGTCAGCACCGCTCTAAAGCACGTTCAGAGTGAACCGGATGACTGTGGCGTGCCGCCGCAGCAGTCGGAAGGCGCTCCACCAGAGTCACCAGGGTCAGGTCACCAGGGTCGGGTCACCAGGGTCAGGCGTTCGTCGAGGATGGACAGCCCTCACGCCACGAGAGGGCACCGCAGACGGCCGCGGGGCACGGTCACTCCCGGCGCACTCCCTACTGCCGGCCGCGAGAGTGCGCCGCGGGCGGCCGCAGGGATGCGTTCGCTCATTCTTTACGCCACGGGAGGTGCAGCGGGCGGACGCAACGGACTGCTACTCCGCATGAGAGGGCGCCGGGGGCGACCTCAGGGACGGCCACTCAGTACGCCACGAGAGGGCGCCGCGGCCGGCCGCAGCGACGGCCCCTCCGTACGTCACAAGAGGGCTACGCGGGCGGCCGACAACACACACCGCTGCGACCGATACCAGCCGACACATGACGCAGACGTGCACCCCACAGCCGGCGGCCCAGCGGTCTGTGACCATTACAGCGGTGGTGATGGGTGGTCTGGTGGGGCTCGCGGCAGTCGGAGGTCCGACGCACTAGGCGGCGGACACAAGCAGCAGAGGTCGGCAGTGGACATTTGGTCGAATGCATGAAGTGTAGCAGTAAAATCCCTCATACTTTTTCCGGTCCAGAATTTTCTGGAAGGTTCCGCGTCTGCTTCATGTCATCTTCGCTGGATGGTCATTGGGATCTTGCTTGGGTTCACGAGTTCAAATCGTGTACCGTTCACAGTCGTCTGCGACAAAGGCAGAGAGAACACACCGGTGACCTACTAACTTATCGGGTTTAAACCCATCCGTTTGCGTATGTTTTATCTAGTTTCGAGCGATCTCGTCATATTTGGATAATAAATGAACAATTGTATTGAGTGGCATTGATACTCATCAGTTCCCTGCCTTGCAGTGTGGGTGCCACCACCGTATTCTGTCGTGGTTGCAACGTCTCCAAAATTTGTGAATTAACATAAATGGTGAGCGCATTGGCGGCATTATGAAGGAACCCTTTTGCAATATTTGTAATGACTGGTGGACAATGTTTACAAGAGCATCGAGGTGGAGTGATGGTAAACAAATCATGCTGCATAAATTGACTCCATGGAAATCGAAATCAGCCGTATACACCTTGCACAAAATGCACAAAATATCAGATGAAGGTCACCGCTAAGGCATACCTTTGCCAGTTTTCCAGCATCCTGTTTCCCTAATAGAGCAAGGCACGGCTTAAGGTTTTTACGAACCAATCCCATACAATTGATCGACTTTCATTCATTCCACATGATAATCCACGTCTTCCTAACTTCCAAAGTTCATGTAGTCCAGCTCGTCACATAAAAATGTAACTATGGACCGGTTGCCTCAATGCTCACTTTTTGTACATGCTCAGAGTAACATTTGACACACAGCAGAGCCAGATCCTGAGCCTGTTTGATGGCAATCCCATAGCGGCAACATCTCACTGAGCTAGATGTCAGTTTTTTTGAATTGGTGAGAGCATACATGGTGGAGCCTAAAATGAACAGAAATGATGAACCTCGAGGGTACGCGGAAAATGGCCATTTCGCTCCTTCGTCCTGGGATGTGATGTGACACCAATCACGCCAAGTACTCATGCTAGTGATGATCGGCACGGCATATCTGCCATGCCCAGCCATCTGGCATATAAAATGTGACCGCTCACCGCGCCTAAGTACGCCTAACCAATTAAAAAGCCTGTTAAAATGGGACAGCCCTTTTCAGCTGAGTGTATCGGTTAAGCCCCTGCCCTGATAGGGGGTCGATGAGGGAATACCTCTCCGGTATACCGCGGAATTGCGCCCAAAGTTTCAGAAATCTATGAAGCATCTATTGGGCAGGTTTTGACACAAAAACCGTGACCCTAGGCGTTCTGGTTTCGGAGAAGCGGCCGTCTTTGAGGAACACTACACAGCGATCTACGGCCGGCGCTGGCGGCAACCGACGATGCCGCGGAACACGCGCAGTGGGCCGACGATGCCGCGGAACACGCGCGGTGGGCCGACGTTGTTGTATTAATAGAATCATGCGTTATAAATGTATGTTTCTATGTTTAAACACATCGAACTAACACCATCGTGTTACGAATTGAACAAGGAACACGTCTTTTTAGGTTTGTGTAGTTACGAGGCATCGTCTCACATGTATGAGGCAGTAAAGCTGAATGTGCTTGCGGACGTCAGATATGAACGACTTGACAATCATATGTATATATATATATATATATATATATATATATATATATATATATATATATATATATATACATGCATAATTCGATCGCCGCGCGCCTAATGAAATGATAGAACTTTAATTACGCCATCATGGTGTCAAGGAAGTCTGGGTTGCCTTGAAAACAAGGAGCTAGAATCGCTTTTGAACCAGGGTGAGAGTGAAAAATTCCGTCGCAAAAAGACCGTGCGGGAGTGAAAAAATCAGTTCACAAACGATGGAATTTATGCACTCGTGACTAATGGCTCAGCAAACAAATACATATTTTTCAACTTGGCATGGAACGTAATGCCAGAAACCTGAAAAAACTGTTTTGTTTTTTTAATATTCTGGGCCATTTAAGTAAAATGGAGTACATTAAAACATTATAATTTCATGACAGGGTACTGAACATACAAAATCATTTACACCAATAATTTGATGCTGCACTTGTACATAATGCTGCACAACACATAAATCAAAACACTTACAATCACTTTGAACCACTTATTTTGATTGCCATGGTTAGCCTATCCTCAAGGGCAATAACGGGTATGCTCCATAAAACAATCTCTCTTCTCGAAAAATAACAAACCTTTAGATGACTATGCCAGTATTGCTGCTAGCCTTTTCAGCTGCACCAAAGTCAGTCCATTTATGCTTGTTTATTCATATTTAATGACCAAGTTTGAGATGTTGGCTTCACATTTTAAATGGATGGTCTGTCTACCTCTTACATACTAATATCTAACTCATATTATAAGTTGTATGCAGCTTAAAGTACTTCCTGTGTTAAAGACATAGTGCGTTAGCACAGTGCAGTCATCTGCCAGTCAGCAAAACATCACAACTATACAAAACATCTGGTAAAAGCAGCCATAAGGGACCACTTCAAGAAATTTGGGGCAACTTATCATCAAGAATATGGAACAAATAAGCCCATTGCCTGCCTTGTGGCATCATAATTTGTCTTAAGACAAAACTCGATGGATTCAAACAGAAAATGACTAACTCTGGTTGAAATGTGTTGTGTGCTAAATGCTAAATCTGCTAAGTGCTAAATCACGTGTTGAAAGCAGGTAAGATAAGCAATTACTTAGTCCACAGGAGACTTATTGGCTTTTTCCTGCTCCCCAAAACAAAAATTCGGTACCTTTTGCATGGTTTGCTGGCAGACAGAATCATCCCACTCGCCCCCTAAATATAAATTGCCCGTCAACCTGCGAGATTAAGGTGCGAAACAAGTAAGAGGTGTGCATGATAAACATCTCCAGAGGGCAGAATTTCGCCATCAAACACTTCTGTATTAGCTGCGTCAGGTCTGTCCCAGAGCTCTGCATGGAAGCATTAGGATAGCTTGTCAGGCAGCCTGGTGAGTTAGACATCCGAAAGGCTTAGATTTATCATTATTGAGCATCGCCATGAACCAAGAAAACTGTTAACCGAGGGTTTAACAGGCCAAAAATGCCGGTTAAAATAAGTTCCGTGTTTCAAATTGTCTCCTTCATTCCCTGTGAATTATTCACTCTTGGGTGCATATCAAGCATGTTTGGGCGGCTGGCGAATTAATAGAATTTATGTATGAAATACGTGCAAATTTGCAGTTGGAGCATCTTGCAGAAAAAATGGTCAACATCTTAAGTAACAGATGGTATCTCTAATGGCAATCTAAAAGGAAGGAAAAGTCAAAGTGGTATCACACCAGTACGGTACCAAGAAAAACAAAAGTAGCAAAAAAAAATCAAGACTAATACTTTTCTGGCAAAAGTTTGTAACCTGCTGATTCGACTTAAAATCCGTTAGCATAAGTGCTCAAATAGTGATGTTCATCTTGTAAATTTAATTTAGAAGACATTGCTTGAATTTTTCATTCCTGCCCTTCGGGAGTGATGCAATTTAGTCGTCAAGTTTCTTCGGGAAAAAGAAATACGTGGAGAAAAATTCTCTCCCAGGCCTTGCTCGCGTTTGCACCAGGTTCTGCTTTCGTGGTGTGGTGGTGAGACCAAAAAGATATGGGATGCGTGAAAACCTTGCATTTGGCACACAGCTGCCGATTGTGATGCATTTTGCAAACAAACCAAACTTAATACGTGCAAGCGACTGGAGTCGCTGGGGTTCTTGGGCTTGGAGGTATCTGGTGCCCTTGCTCTGTGCATACATAGACATGATTCGGATGTAAGTTAGGCAGGACATAGCCATATGCGTTCAGGTTCAGTGGAGCATCTTTTATGCTTGGTGGTTTCAAGTGAACTCGGTTTTGGATGCCATCTGAAAACCTCAGAAAGGGAAATAGGGGTTTTGCATGTGTGATTAGACAATGTCAGGCAAGAGTGAAAAATTCACATAAGATATGGGGAAAAGGAGTTAAAAATTATTCCTCATAGGGTGCTGCTTTACACTCAAAGTCGGCAGTTCTAGGACACTGCTTGAAAAAGTCTGCCCGAAATATTCTGCACATCTTCGCGAGCGTGAGGCTCATAACCTTAAGGATTTTAGGTATTAGGAAAGGTAAGACTGTGAGCTGCGCCAAATGATCCACAAGACACTGTTTCAGCTCCAAAACCCCATACAGATGTGAAATACTCCCTTCAGAAAGAATGCACCCAAGCTAGTGTACTTAGCCTCCCACTGCGGAGAGCCTGGAAGTGATCAAACCTTGAATCGCCGGCATGAGGAGGCAAGGGCTTTCTTTAATTACGTCCAAACTTCAACCTCAGAGGCGGTCTATGGACGTGGAGACTGAGGAGTGTACAGCAGCGAATAACAGTTTACGACTCGCCGAATGAAGAGGGCCTAGAACGTTATCTTGAT